AACAAGTCCCTCAATCTTCCAATGGATTCACTATGAACCCCAACCAACCTTATGATCCCTAAGAACTCAACCTTCTCAAGACGTAGGGATATCCAGAGATAGTCAGCTGTTTGGTAGGCAATGGAGATGGTAGATCTAAGAGATTTTGTTCAATAATGTCCAAGAGACTGTATCAGGAAAAATAAATAAAATATTAATAAAAAGAATTTTATAAAAAATACACTCTTGTAATATATGCGAAGTTTGATTATCCAAAAAACTAAAGAACTAAGAAATGGAGCCCAGTTCTAGCAAACCTCTGAGTTCCCTTCCAAACTTGTCCAGATACGTATCTGCATTGCGCATTCAACTGACAACCCAATTGACTCCGGAACAAAAACGAGTGGACTGATAAGTTTGTCACTACTAGTAAGTGGTATCTATAAGAGCGCGTGCACGTCGATTTCCAACAACATACCCTATTATTATACTTCTGTGTGAAGCTTGTCTGGTTTTATACGCACTCTCCAGTGATCTCTACAACTCAGTAGAGCCTTGCGTGTTTCAATTAAATCAGAGTTACTGGGCGACAATTTAGATTCTGTGCATCTCTACAAATGCATTGTTTAAGTCAAATCTCACTTGTCACAAAATAAGCCAGTGTTTTGCTGTGGTCGAACCTAAGGTATCGACGTTCTCAACAATCAAACGTGGTCTTTTAGGCAGGCTATGTGTGTTTAACCTCAACAAATTTACGGGCTACGTAAACCACCAGCCTTCACTGCACAAGCACCTACTTCAGAGTTAAACCTTGAGTGCCCCGATGTTCTATCATCAAAAATATCTCACCCGTCACTGGTCCAGCCGCTGTTGTGCCCTTCCTTCACCTCAAACCCTAAGGGAGCTACCGGTTACAAGATTCCAACTTCAAGATTCTTACGCGTGCCTTCGTCTGTCGTTCTCATCACTCATACAATTCAGTGCCTGAGCCCTGATCTCGATATCCACTCTCAACCTATGTAGTTACTAATAGGAGCGTTCAGCTAAGATCAAATTCGCTTGACATGCTAAATACGAGCAATTCAATACCAGATATCGCCATATAGCAATAGAATAGCTATAGAAATACATACAAAAATAGCTGATTTATATAACGAGTTGGAAAGTAGTTAGAGACAAATATATATGCTGAGCAGCGCAAGGGCTCTTAATCGAAAGAGAGGATAGAAATTCCGAGCTCCCGACTCTTACCGGCAAGAGCCGGACACCCCCAGCGCGCTCTCGTCGATCGTCTCTCGAACAATCGAGTCTCAGAGTGATAAACGGAAACAAAACAAACACTCTCAAGGATTATTTTTCCTCGTCAACTAGGTAGTTCTGTATATTCGCGTCTCCTTTTCCGACAATAACTCCTAATTCGGTTTTTGGGTACCATGAGCACAAGGTGTGTTGGGGTATCTAGATTCTAGCCTTCCCTCTGGGTCGAACGACGCATGCCAGCCAATTATATATCGGGAATGTCCACCACTCCTCGGCGCAGTGGCGGTATGAGCCCTACCACTCCCAAGCAGATATGTAATATCCATGATTGCAGCCCACCAAGCCCCTTCATTTTCAAAGAACATTCCATACATTAAGTTCTTGCCAGACACTCTGAGTACAAGACTAGTCAATACCATCGTGATGGCCAATACACATTGCTCGAAAAAGTCGCAAAAGTCAACTTCTCTCGGGAAATGTAGATATAATATGTGTCGACCAACATAGTGCAATCACCCAACCAAGGAATAGCTCTTTTTCAATATGATGTGGAGACATAACAACTTACGCTCATCCATCGATGAGTGAGAAGAAGTGAGATATCAGAACGAACTATCTCCTCAATCTATATAGAGTTAATATTCGCGAGTCAAATCTGAGATGGAACCCTGAAACGATATACGCAAATATAAATCAACTTCAGTCGGTGGGAGTAGTCATAATAAATATCTTGGTGCTGGAGCAGCTTTTCAATTTGTTCGGTGCGACCACTTACAAGTACTGGTCGAAAAATTCCAAAGTAAAAACACAAGAAACCGAGAAGTAAGACGATTAATGTTGCAAGTAATTTGTTTCTTGGCCTTCACCCACGTTATCATAGGTGTTAATGTAAGGATTATGTTATTCTTCAGTCTCAGGGTTTATCTTTTTGGACCGAGTGGTGGAACTGGGGTATGCAACTTGTACGCAGAGGCATGCCAATTCACTTTTGGTCATCCACCACCCACTTTTTGCCCCCACCAGTGCATGAATTCTCGGACAGGGGTGCCAGGCACCAATACATGCCACTCATGCAATATCATCCACCCACTATTTATTTTATTATATAATCCACATACCCATATTGCTTTTTCCCACTCAAATATCTATACTAGCCTTCAATTGTTTCCACTGCGCTATCCCAACACTTTCAGTTTTATTCTTTATTTTTATTTTTATTAAATTATCTACTTTTCAAAAAAAAAAAAAAAAAAAAAAAAAAAAAAAAAGTGCAGGGAGATCTGCACACCAAACTCATTTTTATCATGTCGGACTCATCTCAGATCACCATGTTTCCACATTACAAAAAAAAAAAAAAGAAAAAAAAACAAAAAGAAACAACACATTTCACAGGTGGGATTTTCCCTTCTCTACTCTGCGCCGGTCTTTTTCCTTGCCCCGTCCTTGGCGGCCCTTGCGTGCTGCCTCCGTGTTTCCCACTCCACCTGGCACATCACTACTCCCTGCTCATCACTCAGTAGTGTATGGGCCCTCCAAATCGGAAACATCACGGTGGCCTTCCAGCTCAGCTCCTTGTTTTCTGCCCTTAGCACGCTGTATCTCTGCTCGCGCATCCTATATACATGACGTTGTGGAGCAGAGCCAGTTGGAGTTAAAGTGTGCACCTCATTTTCCTACTCTGCAGCCTGGTCGAAAAAATTGTGGACCGCCTTCATGCTTTCCCACACATGCTTCAGAGTAGCTTACTGATTTGCTATCCACAATCCGACTGCACTTGCCATTCTTTGCTCCAACGACCGCATCGAGAAAGTTCAGCGGAGTAAACTTCACGGGCACTCGGTCTAGTTCCATGCTACCGTCTTCACAGTTCTCTCTCTTGTTGACTCGTTTGAGGTCGGGAAAGATTGTGATAGAACTCCGAAGTACGAGGCATTTTTGGGCAACAAAGTTGCTTCAGACTATTTTCTGTGTGCAACAGCAGTTATTACGGACTATCTCCTTCTCCCCAAAGGAACTCATCCTTTCAGCATACTAACGAAGATATTTTCAGAGTTTCTCTCAGTTTTTCTCACCTCAGCCTTGCCTTTCGTCTTGGTTAAAAAGCGAGGCTGCAGGATCGAGCGGCATCTTGACGCCCTGACAAACTGACGCCTTTCATGGCACATCTTTTGGATAAAGTGGACACCCTTTTGATGCACGTCTTTTGATGGCACGACTGTTTGATGCACGTCCTTTTTATGAACTTGGCGCACCTTTGAGGATGTTTACGATTTTTATATCCGACAAGACTCTGTAAACGTGTCCCCGACATTGATTCTCCCGGTAGCTCATTTTATGGGTTCGAACTCTTTTTTAAATCTGAGAGGCTGCAAAAATCTTAGGGAGCTTCCTGTACAAATTTGTATGCTTAAGTCTCTCGAAGAACTTATTCTCTCAGATTGCTCAAAACTTGACAAGTTGCCAGAGGAGCTATGGAGAATGGAGTCTTTCAAGATGCTTAATGCAGATGGAACTGCAATTAATCAACTATCATGTACTACTAGAAGGGTTAATTTATGGGTTTCGCTCTTCTGGTCTTGTGTATCAAAACCAAGAATTTCAGAATTGTCATTGGCTTCTTTACCACAGTTTTTGGTTATCTTAAGTATCCACCTACTCTCCACCTACTTCACCCACTTAAACCTATTCCACTAAACCTAACCCACTACACCACTACCACCTCACCTACTCCACTAAACCTAACCCACTACACCACTACCACCTCCACTTCACCTACTCCTTACCTACTACACACTCACCCTCTTCTATATATAGGAATCATGAATCATTGTAATTGATATCAAAATACACATAAATAAATAATACAATCATTTCTCTTTATACATTAAATTTCTACATGGTATCAGAGTCATAAGATTTAGGCCCGTATTTTGTTTTCTCACCGGCAGGCAGCCGGCCGGCAACCTTGCCTTCGCTGCCCGCTGGAATTTTGTACACATACCTTCGTCCATCCATTGTTGAAGATCACCAATCCAGATCGTCCTATTCTCTCATTCGATCCCTGATTCTCTCGATGTCGATAAGAACCATTAAAGTCAGCAATGTTTCCCTAGGGGCAACTTTGCAAGACGTCAAGGAGTTCTTTTCCTTTTCTGGTGATATTGAATATGTTGAAATGCTGAGTCATACTGAGCGATCCCAAATAGCATTTGTTACCTTCAAGGATTCGCAAGGAGCACAGACTGCAGTCTTACTTTCGGGAGCAACAATAGTTGATCTGACCGTCACTATAAATCTGGATCCAGATTATCAGCTTCCACCTGCTGCTTTTGTAGCTCCTCTTAAAACAGAAAACAAAACCGCAGGTGGTTCTGAATCTGTTTTTCGGAAGGCAGAGGATGTAGTCAGCGGCGTGCTTGCAAAGGGCTTTGTGTTAGGCAAAGATGCGGTCAGCAAGGTCAAGTCCTTTGATGAGAAGCACCAGTTGACTTCCACAGCCACAGCTAAGGTTGTTTCTTTTGACAAAAAAAATCGGGCTTAGCGAAAAGTTTAGCGCTGGGACTTCTGTTGTCAATGAGAAGGTTCGGGGAGTAGATCAGAAATTTCAGGTTTCTGACAAAACCAAATCAGCATATGCTGTTACTGAGCAAAAAGTCAGTAGTGCTGGATCAACCATAATGAAGAACCCGTATGTACAAACTGGAACTACGTGTGTGACTGGTGTTTTTAGTAAAGTTGCAAAGGCAGCTGGAGATGTTGGCCAAAAGACAAAACAGAAGGTAGGAATGGCTGAAGAGGAGCAGCGAAGGAAAATGGTGGATGAATTTGCGCAGATTCATTTATCCGAGTCACCTAAATCACCAAATCCGAGCAATCTTCAAAGCCCGCACCGGCCAAATCACCAAGAGTGGTAGTGGTACTGTTTTTGTGCGAAGGGACAGAAATCATCACATTTCTCACCTTTTTTTCTTTTATTTTGTCCTCCACTTTACACCTCACATGCCTTCTCTATGTCTAAACAATAATTTTCCACCACCCAACTTTCTTTTTATTTTATTTTCTTTTCTTTTATTTATTACCCACTCACTTCTTATGATGAAAACACAATGGACCCAACTTCATGCCAGCCACATGGGCTTGTCCCTCCGCCAATGCTCTCATCCTTTTCCTTTTTTCATATATATATTTATTTCGCCAACCAATACCACTTTTTTTTTAATTCTTTTTTTTTTCTTTTATTTTGTCCTCCACTTTACACCTCACATGCCTTCTCTCTGTCTAAACAATATTTTTCCACCATTTCCCTCTTTTTCTACACAATATTTTTTTGTACCACCGCCCACTCCATGATACCCATATTATTATTATTATTATTATTATTATTTGCACAAAAATAAAAATAAAATAAAAATAAAAATAAAATAAAATAATCATTCCAGTTGATTTTTCTGCATTTCCTGCATTACCACACCTAGCAATACATTCGAGTTTTCAACACACTTGCTTTATTCATTTCAGGGATCAACCCGATCACAAATTTTACACCACCACACAAAAAAAAAAAAAAAAAACAACAACAAACAACAAAAAAACAAACAACACATCCACAGGCGGATTTTTTCTTATCTACTCTGCCGTCAGGTCTCTTCTTCTTGCCTCCGTCCTGGACGGCCCTTGCGCGTGTTGCCTCCGTGTTTCCACCTCCACTGGGCATGATCACTACTCCATGCTCCCCACTGCAGCATAATGCGCCCTCCAAATCGGAACATAACGGTGGCCTTCCGCTTCAGCTCCTTCATTTTCTGCCTTTAGCACACTTATCTCTGCTCGCGCATCCTTATACATGCGTTGGAGCAGAGCAGCTGGGATTTAACGTGCCACCTCATTTGTCCGCTCTGCAGCGGGCGACAGTTTGTGACCGCAGTCATGGTTTCCACACATGACTTCAGAGTATACTATTTGGCCTCATATCAGTTTGCACCGCCATTTTTTGCTCCACCGACCGCATTGGAAAGTTTAACGGAGCAAACACAGAGTGTTTGGTTGAGGTTCACTGGCCACCGCACCAGTTCTCTCTCTTATTGACTCATTGCAGGTCGGGAAGACGAAGGTGAGCAGCCCACGGGAAGACGAAACCATTTTCGGCAACAGAGGTGTCAGCGATACAGAGTTTCTCTCTCAGCAACGGAAGAATTTTTAGAGGCATCTTCTCAGAAAACGAATATCTCTCTCAGAAAAATGAAGAGTTTTTCAGAAGTTTTTTCCCAGAGGGTGGGGTTTGTTCTGTCTTCGCTTTCTCCTCAAGCAGCCTCCGCATTGGTTTATATCGACACTGACGACGCCGGCCGACACGCACTCTGTCGCTTCACGTGCCTCGCCGCGGTCTCGGCTCATCCTTTTGATGGCTCGACGCTTCTGTCGGGCACGCCTTTTGATGAAGTGGGGCGCGCCTTTTGAGGGCGCGACTTTTGAGCTACTACTTATGATATCATCATATATTGATATATTTGGGAGCCTATATACACCTTCATTACAGTGTATTTTTAAGGGTCCGACAAGACTCTGTAAACTGTCCCGACCATTGATTCCGGTTAGCTCCTTCATGGGTCCGACAAGACTCCTGTAAAACTGTCCCGACATTGATTCCGGTTAGTTCTACAGGGTCAGCAAGACTCCGTAAACTGTCACAACAACTGTCACACAGTGTGTTACAAACGGTCGACATGACCCCTAAACTCGCTCTACATCGGTCGACATGACCCCATAAACTGTCTTCTACATCGGTCTGACTACGACCACACAGTGTCTGACTACAACGGTCCGACATGACCCCATTAAACTGTCTTCTACATCGCGTTTGACACCGCCATCCAGTGTCTCTACACCGTTATGACACCACCATCCTACAGTGTCCTCTACAATGGTTAATGACACCCCCATACAGTGCCTCGTACAACGTATGACACCACCATCCAGTGTCTTCACCAATGTCTGAACGACCACTACAGTGTCTCTATCCTTCTTTATTTTTATGTTTTCTTTGTTTTGTTACTCTCTCCAAACTCAAGTTGGTTAGTTCCTATCCCCCTTGAGTTTGCGGGGGGCTGTTAAATCCACCTACTCATCCACCTTACTTCACGCCCACCTCACATACGCCACAAACCTAACCACTACACCACTACCACATCCACTTTCACCTGTCCTTACTAACTACCCATCACCCTCTTCTAATGATATAGGGAATCATGAATTATTTAATAGATCAATAAAATCAATTAAAATACAGCATTCTCTTTATTACATTTAAAATATTCTACAAATTCAAACATTTTTTTGTTTGAATTAATACCAAACAAACCACACCACCACCAAAGGATCAGGTATAAAATGTTATTATACTTCTAAGATAAAATGTACTTTGCATCTTGCATTTTAAGTTAAGACTTGTGGAGACAGACGGGGTCCTGGATTGACGAAACGAAACTTGGCACTACGACATTTTAATAAAGGTTACATTCGAGCGTATTGCACTATCACAATTTTTAAAACCTTAGAATCATATTCATTGCTTAAAAATACGGCTTAATGGGTACTCAGGTAAGCTTGGTTCCATATAGGCCTAATTATTACCTAATTCTAACTTTCATTCAGATTTTGTTTTTTTTTTAAATAATATTTCAAAATCCACTAAAAAAAAAACTCTAATAAAATTTTTTGAAGTTGCATCACAAAACAATGTAATTCACTTTTGAAATCATTAAAAAATAAAAAATAAAAACTTTTTTTTATCGAAATACAAAATTACAGTCTATTATGCTTTGTTATTGAATTGTATTATACATCAGGTAATCTCATAGAATTTTATAGTTACTATTTTCATAGAGGCGTGCTACTCAACTTGATTTTTATTTCAAAATTATTATTTTATACGTTCTTACACATAATAAATTAAAATAAATTTAAGAGTGAGATATAAGATAAATTATGGGACACTATACAGGGTAAAGTCTTTTATATACATAAGTTTCAAAATTCATTTGTCCCAAAACAAAATACTGTCAAAATTAAAGGTCTACATATTTTTAATTATTATCAAAAAAATTAATTTTTATTTTATAAAAATTTAAAAAATCTGCTAACATCCCACTCCGTTCGAAACTTTGTCACACAGGTCACAATGACTCGTCTGGAATATTCAACATCATCGTAAGTCATAAGCATAGCGGTTCACTGAAACTATCACAGGAATGTTTTAAATGTCACTAAAGCGCCGAATGTGACCAGAATGCTCGTCGAGGTTCAAGAAAGTTGGAAATTAACTTGAAATGTCTGATTTTTGGAGAAAGAATAAACAAAAGAATAAAAGAGAAATTATTAGTAAAAAAACATTGAAAATGTGCTAACTATTGATACACTGAAGAAAGAATAAACATAAAACAACAAACAACAACAATGAGAAAAAACATTTATTATTTTTCAATATTTGTAGGGGTTAAGACAAATAATAACAATAACCTGATTCATTTCAAAAGGCAAGCTATTTAAACTGTACACATGTTACAGTTTTAGCAGATATGAATTTCCTATTAAAGCATTGTATCCTTATTACAAATTGGAAACCTGTTATAAAACTGTAAAAATTTTATATTCAAAAGAATGTTATGTAAATTGCAAAATTTTTACAGTATTTACAAAACCATGTTCTTTAGCAGAAAAAATTGAAACTGTAAAATTTTACAATTTTCACTGCTGTAAACTAAAACTTGAAAACAACTTATTCAAAATTTGAAGAATTTTCTCCATTGAAACAAAAAAAAAGAAATGTGTATGTAGCAGAGTGGAAAAAGGTTGAAATCTAGAGAACTGATTGAGGAGAAACAGTATAGAGAGAAGATTGTAAATTCGAGACAACAACTTTTGGTTTAGATCTTGTCAGATCTCAT